CTTCACATTGCTTACCTTTCTTTGAGCTTCCTTTCAAAGTGACGCTAAAAGTCGGACGTAGTCCCCACCGTCTGTGAAAGTGAAGCGCTGCCGACTTTACATGTCGTCATGCTTTTTTATGACGTAGGGAAGTTTATTACCGACGAGTAGACGGACTTCCTCTCCTGCTCAGAGATGAACACTGCGCATGTCCTGGAGGCAGCGAGTGACAGCAGTCACAGAATGACGCAATTAGTAAGTCACGTTATTGCTTAGATTTTAATAGGTGTGTTCTGCATCCATTGAAAACAAAGATGTTGTTGACAAATAAACTGGACAATATGCTGATAATTTAGTGTTATTTTTACAGTTGTGGTCTTGACTGGTCTTAAAATAAAATCCAGAGTCCTCAATGTACGAGACAAGACCGAGACCACCAAAAAGTGGTCTCAAGTCCAAGACTTGTCTGGAGTACTACAGCACTAACCAAACCATCAGAGTTCAGATAAATCACAATGTTTGAAAATGAGCATGCCTGTGTTGAGATTGTTGCTGTCCACCCGTGCCTCCAGTATTCAGCAGAATGACATTTGGCTACCGGTTGTCATGAAGATAAATATCCTAACATAGGACAGGTTTGATGGCCAGACATGACAACTGAAGGCCACATGAGGGTTCATGGACACTTCAGAAACCTTGACCAAAATTTCATGTTTAGAGTTTGACGTTGGTATTTTGTCAATCAAGAGGGCTGAACTGTTGTTGAATTGCACATTACGAAGAATGACAAATTGATTTGGGCAGTGGTGAACTCTACAAACCCAACATCCTGGCTAATTGCTCAATATGATAATGACTGTGGACAGAAATTGAATTCTTTACCCTTATGACAGGAATATGTAAACCCAAGGCAAAATATATTTTTAATTGACACACTGAGAGCAAAATTTTCAAGTATCTTTTCAGCGAAAGATGGGAGCTTAGTTTGAGTCAATAATTTGTTAATATTGATGAAAAATTACTTTTTCCCCATGTTATAAGTGAAACAACTATTTTTAAAAATCAATATTAAGGAATTGTTGACATAAAACAAGCTCCCATATCTCGCTAAAAAGTTGCTTGTTACTCAAGTGTAGTAAGAGATTTTCACTAGAAACTAGACTAAAGATTATTGCAAGATTTTCTGTTTTGCAGGAAGTTTCTCAATTTAATTGTTGGCAGGGTTAATTAAACATTGGGTTTAAATATTCCCATCATCCACGGGTGAAGAGTTCAGTTTCTGTACACAGTCATCGTCATATTGAGCAATTGAACAGGAGGTTGAGTTTGTTGAGGTCACTGTTGCACAAACCAATTTGTCATTCTACCACAGCTCAGCCCAATTGATTGACAAATACCAAACTCAACCTCTACACCACAAGTTCTTGTTAAGGTTTCTGAAGCGTCCATGAAGCCTCAGCTGGCCTTCAGTCGTTATTATGTCTGATGGTCCTGTGTTAGGATATTGACACCGGTAGCCAGTGCTAGCTTTTGTTCTGTGGAATACGAGAGAAACAGATGGACGTTGGCAGACGGCAACAGAGATTTGACTTTAAAATAGTGTTAGTCGATAAATCACTGATCATCTTTGCAAATATATTAAAGACTTGTTATTGATGTGTCAACCTTCCAGACCTCTCAGGACTTCTGGTTCTGGTCTGCTCTATGTCCCCAGAACCAGAACCGAACACAGAGGAGCAGCATTCAGCTTCAATGCACCACAAATCTGGAACAAACTCCCAGAAAACTGCCATACCACTGAAACACTGACACCAAGTTCATTTGAATCAAGGCTTTTGAATCAGAATTGCTTCTGATTGATAATAACTGAAACATTGATCAATAATATATTTGCTTGATGTTGGCATTTGACAAAATGTCATATTCCTTGGTTATGGCATTATGTGTTCATGGTGTAAAGCACTTTGAACTGCCTTGTTGCTGAAATGTGTGATACAAATAAACTTGATTTGACTTTTTGCTTGAGCTGAATTCAGCAATCTCAATACATTTGTGCCTGACGTATTGCGATATGGTACTGTGATATGTGATACAGATTGTCTGACTTTGTGGTGGAATGTTGAGTTGGCCTTTTTTGGTCGTAGTCACACCCCATTTATCAGTCTTGAAGGCAGAGTGTGTCATAATCGAGTGAGAGGCAGTCAAGCGTTTAGCCAGGGTTGAAAAGATGCTGCCTCAGTTCAGAGGTTTGAGTTTTTCACTTTGGCCTGCAAACAGGTAAATATTTGAAGACAATATTAACCATTAATGCACCTACTTGTTGTTTTCTAATAATGTTCACAGGGAAAATGGAGTTTATTAAAATGTAAAATTATATAATTAGGACAAAATGATGGGTCTGTCTGACTGCCATAAGTTCCTACTGGTGCTTCTGCTGGGCTGTTCGGTCCAAGCCAAGGTAAATATGTGGCTTTATTCTATTATATTTTGTGCAAAAAATATTTATTCTGTTTGCTGAACTGAGTTATATTGAATATCATAATTTGGAAATGGTTGTTTGCATGAGATCAAATTTGACGGTTTTTTGTTCTCTTGAAAAAGATAAAAAGGCGGACACCTGAAGGTAAGACGCCTTTGTTTATTGGTTGAAGTATAGCATTTAAAGATTCAGTTTAATGTTATGATCATCCTGATCTTGCTTTTGGTTTTATTCTTAATGCCAAAAAAGACTGCAATCAGATTAGGATCCAGAAACCACATTCACCCAGTGGAGTTTATGAAATCCAGCCAACAGGAACCAGTACTCTGATCAAGGTACCAGATACCACTGATTACAGTTCCAGTAATCAGTAAGAGCCTTAGTTCTCACTCAAAATGCCTGAAAACACTTGATGTATAATTTATTATTTAATGTAGTACAAAAATGTTTAAGATTTACCGATTTTGAAAAAAAAAATCATTTTCTATCAAATAATATCAAAATGTAAGCTCAGTTTCTTATTTTTAGTAAATTCAGCACTGATTTTCTCAGTATCAGCCAATACTAAACCTCAAATATCTGTATTGGTATTGAAAGTGAAAAAATTGATTGGTTATGTTTTAAAACAACCACAATCTATTTCTGCTTTCTAGTTTTGCGAAGAGAAAGATAAAAGAAAAGAAGTCTAACACATGCTGTGCTGTTTCCTGGACTTCTTTTCTCAGGTGTACTGTGAGATGCGTCAAACGGACGGCTGGATCGTGATCCAAAGGCGAAGTGGAGGAGTGGTGTCCTTTGACAGAGGATGGGCTCAGTACAGACACGGGTTTGGATCCCTGACTTGTACGTGACTTGTCTCATATCTTTGTACAGTCAGTATTTTTGTGATTACACATTTCACCCAGTGGTAAATGACACGTCTCTTTATATTTGAATGCATCTTGATTTCCGCAAGGAAATGAGCTCTTGCTACAAGAGTCAAAAAGTTGGTTTGTTTATTGGCAAAGATACTAGGAAGAACTGTTGAGAATTGTTTTATTTGCTCCTCTGATTCCTCAGACGACCACTGGCTTGGACTGGAGAAGATGCGCATGCTGACTAAGGACACAACCAAAGTGTGGACTTTGAGGGTGGACCTGTGGGATCATGGAGGTGGCCACGCGTTTGCCGAGTACAGAGACTTTAGAATCGGAGACGAGGGAACAGCTTATCGACTGCATGTTGGGACGTACAGTGGAGATGCAGGTAAGATGAGGGTTTCTTTAACCATTCTCTGTATGTAGTTCATCAGTCACTGGTTCTTTTCAGCTATTAGCACTTGTTTCCTTGTCTGTAGCAGAAATAAGTCTGTCAAGGTGACTTTGTCCGCACAAAGTTTGTTCAAGGTTATCGAAGACAAGAAGGCCCAAACAACCAATCAGAGCCAGGGGGAGGGTATTAGCACGGTCAATCACCCTAATGTATTCACTGCTCACAGCTCTCTGGTACACTACAGCTAATTCACCACAAAGTAGTCCACCATGAATGCTAAAGCTGTTTAGCATAGCCACAGATGGCGGCAGATAAACAGCTTTCCTGGAACATTAAGTTATTTCTCTGTCACTAGCACATTTAGCTGTGTGCCCACGAGGTTGATTCGCTAAGACGCTCTTCCTCACTCTGATTGGTTGTTTTTGATCAGGAGTGGTCAAAACATTTGACCACTCCGCCTCCTCCACAGGGAGGAGGCGGAGAAGCTTGATTTTTTCACAGATTATCTGTCTCATATTATGCTGTTAGAACATGGTGACAGTTTTAACAAATATGTCTAAAACATATTTTTGTAAAAGTTACATACAGTAACTTTAGCGTTAAAGTTTAAAAGCTACATTTAGCTAAAACATGGGGCAGGGAGGGGTCCGACTGGCTTGCTTTTGGCCTTTTGATTTGAGAATTTCCTCACTTTTCAACATGATGCCACTTCACAGAACGTCGCTTCAGAGAATCCAAATGATCCCTTTAGGTTTATAGTGAGTGTGTGTAAAAACTGCTTTCTGATACATAATACAGTTTAAGATTGTACTGCTCACTGATCACAAAAAGTGATTGTTTTACTCCTACCCTCAAAGCTGAACACTTCATGAAAAGTTTCCGTCTCTTCACCCAGGTGACGCCATCCGCGTTGCCTACCCGGGCATTGACCAAAACGGCACTGGCTTCAGTGCCTTCGACCGCGACAACTGCTCCCCATGCATTCAGGGAGACATTGCTTTCGACAGCTGTACCGACAACCACGGCAGTGGCTGGTGGTACAGCAGCTGCGGCTCC